ACAATTACAAGCAAAATTATATAATGATTTAGTAGAGACTGAATCTACAATAACATGATATTAAATACTATTATGTATGTGAAGGAAATTTCATAACATTATACAGCAAACTGATCACTTTATATAGCTCTGTTCTTACCTGTATTGTAAATCTTTAAGTTTTTCATAGAGATGAGGTCTGCATGTTGCTTCTAAAACATTTTTTGTTTTGGCTGTCTTGAACATTAACTCCTGCATGAAAGTATAATATGAACATTAGAGATTTCTTTTCTCAATTTTTTACCCACTTTGGGGATTAAAAAACGAGAACAAAGTTACAATGACAAAGCAAGGTTAAGGAAATTTCTAGGAATACCTGACATCAATCCATCTGCTTTTGCCTTCAAAAACAATCTATAATCACATAGTTTTTTTTAAATCAGAACAAATGTAGAGACTACCACTTTTCTAGGCCCAGACAGAATTTCTCTTTTCTAAACCAAACAAACAAAAAAATCATAAAGGGAAATGAAGAGGGAAAAGGAAAAGGATTAAAAGAAAAAGGGAGAGAGGAAAAAGAGTGTGTGCACAGGATCTTAAAGAGTATACCACTATTAAATAATCTATCCTTTCAAATTAAATTACAATTTCGGTGGGAGTTCTGCTTTAGGCCAAAAAAATGTAACCTCTATTTCCCAAAAAACATATAGTTACTATTCTTTGCTATAAGTCTTTCAAATTGTTTATCATTATTATGTGTCTTTCTCCATATCTCTCATAGAAAAGCAAAAACAGAAACTGGAAATAGTATTTTCCCCTTCTCAATTTTTCACTTGAAGAGGAATCTATTTGTCCCTCTTACTGTGGAAGTTGACAACTAACGCCCTGTGGGACAAATAGGGCCCACTCTATTTTTCTATGAGCTACAAGCATGGCTTTCACATTTTAAATGTTTGAAAATATCAACAGAAGCATAGCACCTTATGGAAGTTATAACATTACATGTAAGTCATGATAAGTTCAAATTTCAGTGTCTGTAAAGTTTACTGGTATACAACCACACCAATTTGTTTATATGGTATGTTTTCTTTCATGTTACTTGGGTGGTATGAGTAATGTTTCAGAGAGTGTATGATTTGCAAAACCTAAAATATTCACTTATTGGCCATTTACAGAAAAAAATTCCCTGACCTATGCTTACTGAAATGAAAAAAAAAAAACCTTTTTTCATAAATATAATACTTTGAATGACGGTTCTTTACAAAATTTCTTTCATATTGTTCTACAAACTTCTATATTGCTAGACTAGAATACAACTTGTTTCTTATAAACCTTAAATTCAGCATCTACTCCATCAAATATCCTGGCATCTTCCACAAGCTGGATTTGAATATCTTCTGAACAAGCAAAAATGCTTTCCAGGTGAGACCAAGTTCGCTGGACTTCCATCCAAGTAAAGATGACCGAGTCTGCTATGTTTAATTTATTCTGCCAGCTTAAAACCTGCTCGATGAAATATTCCACATACGTGCTTTGAAGAACAGTCTGTAACTGAACCTAAAAGAGAGGCAAAGAATTTTAAATAGCTGATTGGTGCATGAGGAGGCACTGTATCTGCTCTGTTTACTGCCGGGTTTTTGGACCTAGAATAAACACTCAGAAAAGTTATTCAATAAGCTTTTGCTAAAAGGTGAACTAATGGCAATAACACTTTTGTGAACATTTTTCCCAAAAGAGAAAAAGACAAATATAAGTAATTGCATTTAATGTGTCTTCTACAAGTAGACTATGAATCTCTTTGCAGGCAGAAAAAAAGTATTATGCACTGGAGTGCAGCTTTAGGAATTAAACTTCTTTTATCACTCTTTCCCTGGTCCCTGCCTGTTAATTATTCCAAGACTGTGTGTATATACTTTGATGTCCAAAAATAAAAGACTCTCCTCCAGCCTGATAGGCTTTCACTTCCATTCCCTCTCTTTTCAGGGGACCACTCTGCTCTGCAGCTCTTTCACACCCCATGGTCTGAGGAATGCTCATCACTGTCTGCCACTGAAATCCCAGAAGTCCCTGAGAAGAATGGCCTCTTCCCCTTCACTAAACACTGAACACATGGCACTCTTCTTTGGGTGGGTGGGAGGCATCTCTTGGTTTCTGGGATACTGTAGTATCTTGTTTCTATTCTCTCCCTCTCTGTCTCTTTTCTCTCTTCTTTTTCTCTGCTTATTTTTTATTTCTTCTCCTCTTGTTCACTGAAGGCAGCCTTTTCAAAGGCTCCATATGCAGTGGGCTTATCTTCTTTACAACTCTTTATCTAGTTCATCAGTTCTCAAAATACTAACAATGATCTCTCAGCCTTACCCACTGTGCTACTGTCAACCTCTGTGCTGGGCTCTGGTTTAACTTTCCATCTTTATAAAAATATCCCTCATGCTAAATACACCAAAAATTATAATATCACCTCACTATACTGGTTTCTCTTCCTAAGTGCTTCCTAAGCTACAGTCATTACTTCTCTTCCTAAGTGCTTCCTAAGCTACAGTCATTACTTCCTCCAAACGGTTGCTTGTACCTTTCTTCTCTCTCACATACAGATACGATGACCTCTATAATCTTAGAATTCAAATCCATACATAAACCATACTGTGCTCAATCCTGCCTTAGCAGTCTTATTTTTCATTACACACACCCACACACCTGTATTCCAAAGAAACTAAACTCTTAAGGTGATCTCTGAATGGCAGGTGTTTTTGATGATTCCAAAAAGCTAATATTGCCCTCCTTGCTTAAATACATTTTCCTGATAGCCCTTTTTTGGTGAATGCAAGCCTATCTCTCACATCTGAGCATAAGCACCACCGCCTTTTAAGGACTCCTTAGATTTTCACTCTTTGCCATTAGAAAACCTCTATTTCTTCTTGGATGCCTTGAATTCCTTCTGTTTGTCTCTTTTCTCAAGTGCAAGTTTTTTCAGAACAAGTGTTCATACCTTTGGATTCCAGGTGGTACCTACAACACCTGGGGCCTGTTTTCATTGATACCCAACAAGTAAACAAGTATATGTTGAATACAGTCTTAGAATTTGGGAAAAACAAAAAATCATCAAACTTAAGAATCTATGATAAAACTGTCTATCTTACTTGGTTGTGCTCCAAAGTTTCAAAAAGCTGTTCATCAGACTTCAGTAGTGGAATACTTGTTCGATAGTGAACTTCATAAGAAAACTCCATGGTTGCCCAGGTCTGGCTGATTTCAGTAATAACCTAGTAATCAATAATATAGATTATTTTTTGTACACAAAAGTTTAATTTAGTGTAAATACCTAGCTATTATCTAGTATTTTAAAAGTGTTTTAGAAGTTTTTTTAAAAAAAGAAACCGAAGTAATATGAAGTATTACTGGCCTAATTTTCTTCTCCAGATAATTCACGGTGATGAAGTTTGTAGAATGAATTGCATCACACCAAAGAAACAAGCATCACAATAATACAAATTAGTATTTGTATTTGTAATTGTGTCACAATTTTATTGACTGTTTTACACCCTTCCCCAAAATAGACTGTGAAGGAACAGCAGAAAGGAACTCAAAAAGATTATCTGAAGATTTAGCAGATGTTATTTACAAATTATCAGCCCAAGAGAAGTGACAGGTAGTTGCCTGAATGTGTATCTCCCTAAAGCTCTGTTTCTTCATCTATAAAACAGGAATAATCATCTTACCTATCTCAGAGGATTGAATTATTTAATACAAATAAAATACTTAGAGTGGGCTTGCTACAAAATAGAGGAAGTAAAAGTGTTTTCTGCTATCATCAACTGGGTCAACCCCTTGGTTTTGAACCCCTACTGTGACTTAGAATGATTGTGGTTTTTGCTAAAGTCACTTAACTAGCAGCAGAGAACAGACTGGGATGTCTCCACCCTCCAGATATCAAAAGGAGTTCTCCCAGTACTGGATTCTATGCTAATGACAAAATTAGCCTAGTAAAAAAGATACAGGCCTGAAGACACTACCTTCTCAGTGCCCAGTTCTTTCACTGCTTTGTCCACAATGCTTCGGATCTCATCTTCCACTCGGTGTAACTGTAGTGCTAACAAATCTGCCAAAGTTGTGGCTTCATTTATTGAAAATGTGACCTGATTAGGAGGATGAAAAAGGTAAAATTTACATTCCACATACACTGATAGTTCCTTTTACCCAATAGTCACAGGAATGTACTGTAACTAAAACATACTCCAATCAGCTGCTGGGATATCTCTATCTCTGCCTGGTACGGGCAACTGCAGGTTCTCCTAGGTAACTCACAGTTCCAGAGCCACCACTTTCCAGAAGCCAGGCCAAGGTTTCTGCCATGCTCACGCTACACTACTTTGTTTCATATCCTTGCCTTGTCTGCACATTTCTTAACTCCTTTGCTCACAAAACCCATTTTAAAAGAATCTCATCCCTCATTTATTATAATTTGGTTGAAATCCCAGGAATCATATAGTAGCTCATTTGTCTTTTCTTCCTGAAGTGCTCTCTTCACCGAATATAATTCCTGGTTACTTCCGTGATTTAACCTTGTTTTATCAATAATTTAATCTTAGCTCCCAGGCAAAAAAAAAAATACTAATGTCATTATTCATATTTGACATCTGAAAAAATAATTCCTATTCATCTCTTCATTTTCTTGTTGGTTACCCCTTTCTCCTCACCTCCATAATATTTGGTTCTTAAGGAGCGATCAGCTCTTCCTATACCCAAACGCATCCATGTCCCTGGTAAATGAGAACTGACCCAGCCACACAGTTGCAAGAAAGCCATTTCCTTTTTCATTCCTGCTAAGAATATCCAGTTTCTGCTTCTTGGAAACAGCAGTCCTTTTTAGCTCCCTCTACCCTGTTTCCTTAGCATCATCTATCTCTCTCCATAGAGGTGATCAATAATCCATGTTTGTCCAGGACTGAGGAGTTTCTGGTTGAGACTTTCAGCCCTGAAACCTGTACCTGGAAAGTGCTGGACAAACCAGATGAGTTGTTCACCCTATCTCTGCATTGCTTCTGACTTCACTCAAGTTCTGATGGGAGCCAGGTCTTCCCTAGAGAATAATGAGCAGAGATGTGTACTGAGGCAGGCCTTAGTGGTTATGCAATAGTTATGCAAGGACACCAGCCCAGGGGACAGATGGAGACTGAATCTAGTTTCTGCCCTGCTGCCCTAGGGACAGCATGGAGGAAGGTACTTTTTCTATACTAAGAGGATTTTCCTAGCTTGCAGGAAGGCATAATATAGGTTATATGGAGACTTTAGTAAGGTGAAATTTTATTGGGAGAAATATCAGGAAGACGTAGGAGGTAGGAGCAGATACTCAGATATATATATATATATAGATAGATAGATAGATATATGATTTTCTGGATGAATAAATTAAATTATTTACAAAATCTAAATAGTGTGGGAAATATACCAATAATAATAGCATCAGAGAGCATTTATTGACCACTGACCACATAAGTATAAGCTAAATAAATAAAAATAATGCTTTGCATGCAGACTTGGTGATCAAATTGGAGATGCATTATTTTTATTTCATAGAAAGAACAATGGGGATACGACAAACAAAACCTAAAACCTCAAAGTTATAAGTATTAGAGTTGGAGCCATCAAGTCCAGGCTGTTTCTGGTTTCTACCTCGTAATTTTGCCAAGGTTAAGTGACTTGATTGAGATTGCTTAGCCAGTAGGAGATAAGGGGGGGAGGGGGGAGGGATGAACACTAGGCTCTTCAGAGGTCCTGAGCTGTCTCAAGGAGCTTGGCCTTTTGCATGGGACTAGACTTTTTCACATATTCCATTCCATCTTAGATGATACTAATCAAGGAATAACACTTCATGGTCACAGAAATACTCAATAAGACCCAGGGTACTCACCCCAATGGCCTTCATCAGCTGGTGCCAATGCCTATCCCTGAGGGCAGGACTCTGTAACTCAGAGATGGCTCTCAGGAAGATTGTCATGTTCTTCACAGTGCCTTCCAGACCTGCATAAGCATCGCAGACACGGACAGCTTTATCTAGTGACCAGATTTCCTAAAGAAAAAGTAGAAAAATATCAGTTTCCTAGATAAAATATTATATAACTTGTCTCATTTAAAAGAATAAACACACATTTACCTATCCCTTGATTAAGAAATAGAGTAAAAGTATTTAAAATCCATAGGCTAAGGACTAAAATCAGAGACCTGGAAAGGGATCTATTTATTCATATGTTTTGAGTCCAGTATGTACAAGCTACGTGGTTACACCAGTTTCTTATTCACAAGATCTAACTGGATGTCCCATGTAACATCAACTGTAGGGAAGTAATAGAGTTCGCCGGACATATTCCTCTGACACAAATAAGTGGAAATTGGCATAACTATCTGGGTTACTGAGAGGTACTTTCTAATATTTGGCTCATTTAAATGGTTGCTTTAAAATGTTGTGTTTCTGCATTTAAATATTGCATGGTTTTAAGATGTTTTAAATAGGGCCCTTGATTTGGCTCTCTGCTTGGCCTATTGAACATCAATAATTGTGGATCAGAAAACCCATGCTAAAGCAATTAAATTTTAGCGCAGAGAAAAGGACAATGCCAGTTGTCTAAAAAAATAAAAGACCTACAGTTGAGAGCGAGGGCTGTCACTCTGTAGGGAATAATCCAGTCATTGAGGAAATTAACAGGGAGTATGGAATGAGGTACAGTGACCTCATGACATCCGGAAAAATGGAAAAAAAAATTTTAGTTAGCATCTTTGGACTGGGACAACATGAGAGAACAAACCAGGCAAAGGCTGTAGGAGCTGAGCACGGAACCGAATCGGGGACAAGCATGCTGAATACTGGGATGCGAAGAAAGAAAAAGGCCTCACTCCTTTTTTCTGAGACAGGGTCTTGCTGTGTTGCCCAGGCTGGTTTCAAACTGCTGAGCTCTGTAGGATTCTCCCACCTCAGCCTCCCAAGTAGCCTGGACCACAAGCCCATGCCACCATTCCTGACAGGCCCTGTCATTTTCAAACTGACTTTCAGAACTGTGTGTTGGCTTTATCCAAAGTTCTGCTCTCCTTAGGGGGCATATGGTTATGGGATTATCAGGCTAAATCAGCTAAGTTCTGTATAGATTGATCCCTCTTAGAATGCTGGCATAATCAACAACAACAAAGATCATAATATTCCATATCAATCTAGCTGTGGCATACTGCCATTAGTTGTCCCAAATTCTAGAATCAGGTACAAAATACTCATAGTTGCTAAGGAAAGAAATCAAAGGCTTCATTCATAAGCCTGAGCCCTTAGCCTTGATACTCTTAACCTTTCCCTCCATTCTAGAAAGTCATAGGAAGCAAATGATTACAGTTACTTCTCATAAATTCATTAGCCCTAATATTCTTTTATCAACTCATTCACAGAAAGGCAGGCTTGATTAGAAGTGCAACTGGCTGAGACTGAAAAAAATACTAACTGTTATCATTCTATTTGATATAAATAAGGACATGGAGCTGAACACACCAGATATTAGGTTAGGGAAGATAGAAGAAGGTGGTGCTGAGAAAGATAAATTGTTGTAATAGACAGTTATGGAACTCGCCTTGGCAAACTTTCGGAGTTCTACATCCATCTGTTCCACATTAATCTGTCTCCACTGGGTTTTAGTCCAATTATCAATGCTTCTCTGAAAACGCGCAAGCAGATAAAAGTGTCAACAACATTTGGTGAAAGCAAGTCTCCACAGCAAAATATATAAACTGATGACACACAGGGACTCTTATCATCCGGTGGAAAGACAATTTTTAAAATATAAACTACACTTGTCAAAACTTCCCTATTACTAAAACAAAAAAAACTGTCAGAACATGTCAAGCTTAAGGCTAAAACATTCTGATATATTAATTTCTCTTGGTAATGATAAATTCCACATATGTAATCATTATCACTTAATCCTGCATAGTTTGAATAAATTGAAAAGTAAATTATTAAATAACAGGTTTTTATACTCCTACATGTAACATATAATAACTTTCACAAGATAATCTTCATCTATTATAAACAAAACTTTCATTAACTACTTTTTGACTATATTTTATACCTTAATATATCTGTATATGGCTTTCAGCTAACTTAGGACAATTATGTATAATACATGTTGCAATATGCCTAGTTCCCTAGAGCTTATTTTTATACTTAAGTTTTCAACTTAATTAACCACATACAAATTAATGTCTTTTTTGTTTTGGTACTGGAGATCGAACTCGGGTCCTTGTGCTTGTGCAGCAGGCGGCAAAACCACTGAGCTAAATCCCCAGCTCCAATGTCATTTTTAATAAGGTTCTACTTATTTATGCGCACACATAAGAAAAACATGGGTACATGCATGAGCTTCTATGGGCAGGTGACTATGTATATGTACCACATATTTATATATTAATTTTTATTTATATCCTTTGTATCTCCTAAAGGATCTGGGGCACTTTGTCACACAAAGTTTCACCCTGAACTAAAGACAGAAACAACCAATACAAAATATGTCATATGGATGTATTCATTATTCTGTAAAACTAACATGCACTAAAAAAGGGCATAGAACCCACTGCTAGGGACAAAGCTCAATGGGATAGAGCACTTGCCTAAAATGCACAAGGCCCTGCATATGATCCCCTCACTGCAAAAAGAAAAAAAAAAAAGGAACACACAAAATGCACTTTTTCACTTCATTAAATTCCTAAATCCAGAGTATTTGTTTATATGCAAAATAAATGTATACAAAATTTTATTCAACTGATTTAATGTTCATTAACTGCATTTGAAATGACAATATAGTATTTTAAACATCACTGTTTTAATGAGTAAGCTTAAAAATTTTCTTAAAAGCCTGATATTCATGGGATCATTTTACTAACAGTGATACTTGAACCCTAATTTGTAGGGTAGGGGGTGAAATCTAATGTGTATTTCACCACATCCAAACAGAATGATACAGACACTAAAAATTGCATGTTTATACAAAGGAGCTACTAAAAGAAAGAAAGAAAAAGAAACCAAAAAAGCATATCTTACTCTAACATAAATAATGACATCCCAGAGTCCCTTGAGCAATTGTATTTCTTTGCGATACTGTTTCATCTGTTTGTACTCTGGAAGAGCCACTTCAAAGAGGCGAGCAGATTCCTGTATTTGCAACATTTCTTCCTCTAATGCCTCGAGTTCCAGATTTGCCTAAGGAGAAAACACACATCTGCACGCAAACCACCAGACAGGCCGCCTCATCCTGTAGCTCTGCACATTTCAACGTTTCAAATTCTGATTTTAAAAAGATTTTAAAAAAAAACCCTGCAGTATAATTATTGGTAGCATGTAGAAGGCTTCTGATCAGCAAACTAACAGCTACTCAAAAGTGAGAGTAAAGATTAATACATTTAAGAATGCCACCAATATTCTCCCTGTGCACATATATCAGCAAAATTTGCTGTGGCATCAGATTTCTATGAATACAATAACGCCTGTCGACTTTCACTGTGTGGTTGGGAACTTCACAGGGGAGCGAAAGATCAGGCACTAGACATTTTCCATGTAAAAATAAATTATCTTTTAAAAAAACCCTCTGATTTAAAAAACTACCCCACAGTTTATTAATAGTATAAACAGCACATGAGAATTCATAAAGCAAAACACCAGAGCTAAAAACACAACCCAATATGAAAATTTCATCTTATGATTGTCTCTGCCAAGTTTCATCTACCCTCTCATCTATGTAGAAAAGCTTATGTTTTACATCACATATATACAGGCTCATTTCTTCTTTCTTGATGAGCCAACTCTCACTTTCAGCTTTCTATTAACAAAGAAGTATGTAACGGGTGATGGAGAAATATGGTGAGTACTTAAACTGAGAAAAAAAAACCTTTTACAATAAAGAACACATTGCCAAGAACAATGAGATAAATGTGTTCAAGGTGAGGGTGAGTAATACAAGTAATCTGAGGGGGACTGATGGCAATATGACTTTAAATGTGATAATTTTTAAATTTCAACTTTCACCATATCTGCAGGGTCAAAGTTTGAAAAGTACAGAACCTGCAAGGCAGGAAAGCCACCCCCAAGTTCCATAGGCCTGGTGCCCTTTCTGAAATTCTCAATTCTATGCTCAAGCTGTTCTTTATTTTTTTAATTGATTGATCATGTTCATAAACTACACTAGGTTACTAGCTTTGCAAAAAAAGGAACTGGACTTTGTTTTTCCACTTTATATTTTCTCCTACCCTCTTCCCAATATTCAACAACTTTAATATTACTTTGATTTTAATAGTCTTTTTAATTTTAAAAACCAATACTTAATCCTTTTGTCAACTCTCTCTAGTTGACAAAAATGTCATTTACTTATATACAATATAAAAATTTTTATTTACTTATATACAACATAAAATGAGTCATTGTGGAATGACTCAAGCTAATTAACATATGCATTACTTTTTTATTTTGCAATGAGAATATATAAGACCTTAAGGATTTTCAAAATAAAATGTATTATTATTAAACTACAGTCACCATGTTGTACAACATATTCATGCCTCAGTTATGCAAGGGACTGGTTCCAGGAACCCCAAGGAATGCTCAAGTCCCTTACATAAAATGATGGGTAGACTAAAAGCATACCTTTTATCTTTTTCATTTATTTTTAATTATTTTCTGACTTCTTATTACTTATACTAATTTCATTATTCCTATAAACATGTACCATTTTCCAATTAAACATATTAATTCTATCATTCCTAGAAATACATACCCTGTTAAGTTAATTCAATTGGTTACTGTGTCTTTGGGTATGAAGGAACAACAACACTTTACCAAGGAATGTCACTATTAAATTTCTTTTGAAAAGAAAGAAATTCAGCACACCACACTTCTTCCCTTATTCCGGGAAGGCTGACGGTTTCTGACTTTTGGAGTGTGTACTATGGTCTACTACACCAGGCCAGAACAAGAATACACATGTCTTCAGTTGAGAACAATTAGATAAATGTGAGATATGCAGTCTGAACAAACACACTAAGAAAATAACTTCAAAAAAAGTTAATCAAAACCTATTATATTTAAAAGGTCCCCCCATGCATTCTGTAGGTATAGAATAAGCATCTCCTCTTTTAAATATATAACTATATGTTATTACATAGCACAGGAATGGTAGGATTCAATATCTTACCACTGGTAAGTCATAAAGGCTTACATACTACACTTTTGTCAGTGAAGTAAAAAGCAATTCCCTATCCACAATCTGTTCAGGTCACTGGTGATTTGGATATAATCCTTGAAAAAATAAAAGAAAAGAAAATCCAACTTTATTAGCATACGCTAACATATTCCTTTTCAATGAATATTTTAATGAGTCTTCTTCAGCCAAGTGAAAGAAAAAAGAAGACCTTATGCTGTAGAATGTTGTTTTCTAAATAGGGTTAAAAGCAATTAAAATAAAATTCGATGTGAAGTTTGAAAAGAGAAGTAATAGCTTTGTCAAACTGGACACCAGTCTTAGGGAAAGACTATCTCCATCAGGAAAATGGATCAGGATGGCATCCCAGATGCAAAGCTCAAAAACTGATCCTGCTGCTAATTTAATTTTCACAAAGTCAATTTCTCAAAAAACTATTTTTCTGTTTTGTTTTTTTTTTGGTACTAGGGATCGAACTCAGGACCTTGCACTTGTGAAGCAGGCGCTGGAACCACTGAGCTAAATCCTCAGCCCAAAGAACCATTTTTCTAATAAAAGTTTAAAGCATCTTTTTAACCTCTTGTGACTATTTGTGATTACTCGCCCACTCTATTCATTCTTATAGTCGTTTATAATAAAGTAGTTCATTATAAATTAGAAATGAGAGACAGTAATATTCATGTCCAAATTTAAGAGTAAATTATGAACTTTCCTATGGGTAAATATTGCTAACAAAATATCACATGGGAACAAACACATTAGCAAAATGTATGTACCCTTGCTGAGTACAATGATGAGAATTTCCTTTTTTAAAAGTTAGCCAGACTTTTTTCATTTCATGAAAAATAAAACAAAATGTCATAATTAAATGAGAACAATAATCATTACACTGTGCATCACTGTCTTCAAAGTAGTTACTCAAACTAAAAGAATAAACCAAAAAGATTCTTACAAAAAACAGGTAACAACACAAATCATTCTTTTCAACAAACCAAGATAAACTAGTAGTATAAATGGAATCAATTAAAATATATATTGAAATATTTTTAAACAATGAGATTTGTAATTTGGGGAAGTATTTGAACTTCTTCCTATTTCCTATTTATCTCCTCTATTTTGCTCTTTATGAATATATATTCATATATATGTATGTAGTATATGTTCACGTACATATATGTATAATGTTTCTATATAAGAAAACCCATACAATACTTGAGCTTGTGTATCTGACTTATTTCACTTAACATTAAGTTTTCAAGTTACATCCATTTACCTAAAAATGTCTCAAATTTATCTTTATGGCAATGTAGTACTCCACTGTGTATAGGCACCACATTTTCTGTTCATCTGTTGATGGAAATATATGCTGTTTCCAAGATCTAGCTGTTATAAATTGAGCTGCTATAAATGTGGGTATGGGTATGCATGTATCCCTGTAATATGATGATTTTAACTCTTTTAGGAAGATTATCTGGAAGGGAGATAGCTGGGTCAAATGAATTTCTCTCTTTAGCTTTTTGATGAATATACTGATTTCTATAGTGACTGTACTAGTTTACATTCTCACTGACAATATAGTAAAGTTTCTTTTTTTCTCACATCCTCCCCACCATTTGTCGTTATTAAATTTTTCGTGATAGCCATTCTTTTTAGCTAAGATGGTATGCCAGTGTAGTTTAAAATTGCATTTCTCTGATGGCCAGTGATGATGAGCATTTTTTGTATTTACTGGCCATTTGTACTTCTGCAAAATGTCTATTCATTTTGGTTGCCTATTTTTTAATTGGGTCTTTTAATTTTTTGACTTTTTTATATATTCTCGATGTAAGTAAGTCCTCTATCTGAGGAATAAAAGTCCTCTATCTGAGGAATAGCTGGCAAAAACTTTTTTGTCATTCTGTAGGTTGTCTCTTCACTCTGTTGGTTGTTTCCTTTGCTGCACAGGTTTTTTTTTTTTAGAAGGTTTTTAATTTGATATGATCCTCTCTGTTGAGTATTATTTCTTGTGCCATTGCGGGTCTGTTCAGAAAGTCCATGACTATGCCTATGTCTTCAAGAGTTGTCCTGGGGATTTAGCTCAGTGGTTCTGCTGCCTGCCTCACAAGCGTAAGGTCCCAAGTTCAATTCCCGGTACAAAAAAAAAAGAGTTGTACCTATTTTATCTTCCAGGAGGTTAACATTTAGACCATTGATTTATTTTGACTTTAGTTTAGTACATGGTGAGATATATGGGTCTAAACTCAATCTTCTGCATATGGATATCTAATTATCCCAGAATAATTTATTAAAGAGGCTATCTGGGACAGGGATTTAGCTCAGTGGTTCCGCTGCCTGCCTCGCAAGCGGAAGGACCCAAGTTCGATCCCCAGTACCAAAACAAAAAAAACCAAAAAGAGGCTATCTTTGCTCCAGTGTATGGGCTTTTTTTTTTAACCTCTAGGTCAAAATAGCTGAATGTGCCTGGGTTTTTTCTGCATCCTCTAGTCCAGTGGTGGTGAACCTATGGCACACATGCCACAGTCAGCTATTTTGTTATCATTGAAAGCTCTAAAAGGTTTGCCATTACTGCTCTAGTCTGTTCCATTAATCTACATTTCTGTTTTTGTGCCAGTACTATGCTGTTTTAATCACTGTAGCTTTATAATCTAACTTCAAGTATGGGATTGTGAAGCTGCCTGCTTTAATTTTGTTACCCAGCATTGCTTTTGCTATTCTGGGTCTCTTCTGATTCCATATAAATTTTAGGATTGTTTTCTCTACATCTGTGAGAAATGCTATTTTGATTGAGATTGGATTAAATCTGTACATTAATTTTGTGCAGCCATTTTTATTTTATTGGTTCTGCCTAATCAAGATCAGAAATTTTTCCATTTTCTGATGCCCTCCTTGATTTCCTCTTTCAGTCTGATATAATTTTCATTGTAGAGGTCTTTCACCTCCTTAGTTAGGTTGATACCAAAGTATTTAAATTTTTGATGCTATTGTTAATGGCATTGTTTTCCTATTTTTCAGTGAGTTTGTTATTAGTGTATAGGAATGCTATTGATTTTTGTGTTTCTTTTATATCTTGCTATACTGCTGAATTTGGCTATCAATTCTAAGGGTCTTTTGGTGGGGTTTTTTGAATCTTGTAAGTAAAGGATCACATCATCTGCAAATAATGATATTTTGACTTCTTCCATTCCTATACCTATCTCTTTTCTTACTTTTTCTTGTCTTATTGCTCTGGCTAATGTTTCAAGGACTACGTTGAACAGGAGTGGTGATAATAGACATCCTTGTTGTTGTCCTGATTTTAGAGGGAAGGTTTTCAGCTTTTCCCCATTTAAAATGATGTTGGCAAGTTGGTCATAGACAGCTTTTATCATGTTGAGATAGACCTTCTATACTTATTTTCTTCTAGGTTTTTATCATGAATGAATATTGAATTTTGCCAAAAGATTTCTCTGCATCTATTCAGATGATTATGTGATTTTTATCCTTGCTTCTGTTTATGTGAATTACATTTACTGATTTGCATGTAAAACATTCTTGCATCTCTGGGATGAAGCCTACTTGGTCATGGTGTCTGATCTTTTTGATGATTTGTTGCATTCTGTTTGGCAGTATCTTGTTAAAGATTTGTGCATCTGCATTATTAGAGAAATTAGCCTATAGTTGATTTTAGAAGTACTCCTCCTCCCTCATTTTATTAGAAAGTTTGACTATTGGTGTTAGATCTTCCCTGAAGTTCCTGTAGAATTGGCTGTGAAATCATCAGTTTCTTGGTAGTTGTTTTTTTTTTTTTTTACTGCTTCAGTTTCATTGCATGTTATTGAAGTGTTCAAGATTTTTAAGTCTTCTTGGTTCAGTTTTGGCAATTCATATGTATCCAGGAAATCTCTCCATTTCTTCTGAGTTCTACAATTATGTGGCATATATCTTTGTGAAGTAGATGCTAATAATTTTCCAGATTTTGGCAGTGTTTCATTTCTAATTGCATTAATTTGTGTCTTTCCTTTTTTTTGGTAAGACTTAGATAGAATTTTAATTACAGTTCTGTCATTTACTAACTCTAACATCCAATAAATTATTTAATTACATAAATTTCTTTATCTGAAATAGGGACAGTAATAGAATCTGTATCATAGAAAGATTTTGAGAGCTAAACAAAATGCAGTATGCCTAACAGAATTCTTGATATATAGTAAGTACTCAAAAAATAGCAATAGCTATTACTTTGATGATGGTGTTTTTAGATGACATGATTTAAAACACACTGTAATTTTCTTGAGGAAAACTACTACTGACTGAACTTCTGTAACTAATGGCAAAATACAGCAGTATCTCAGCATCTAACCTTATCTTCTAAAGTAGTTATTATACAAGATATTTGAGATCTGTATTACCTTATCAAGCACTGTATATGGGTTTTCTGCATTAAAACCAAGAGGGGCGTAGCTTCTGAACCTCTCTCTGAACTCTGCCTGCTTTTCCTGGTGGGAGAGAAAAAAAGCAAATCTCAAAAAAAAAAAAAAAAAAGGTTTCAATAATCTTTGTAAAACGTTTCTTAAAAATAAGCAAACAAAAACTTGGTAACTAGCTTACATCAAATAAAATACATTTTTTCCGTATAAGAGAGACTTCTGCATTTTGGAGAGGTGAAACTTCATGTCTAACTGTTGCTGCAATCTTCTTGGTTGTTTCCCATTTTTCAGGTAATTCCTAAAAAATAAAGGTGCAAATGGGAAGTTAGTTCAATTCCTAATACAGGATTAAATTATTTTAATTACTTTACACTAATCCATGACATCTTTTTATTTTTATATAAAGATTTTATCTGAGGGAGGAAGGAAAGGGGGGAGGAAAAGGGTGGGAGACTGATTAAGACTGACTGATTCCCAGGCTGAGAGCCAGGGTTGAAAAACAGGCTGACTCGCAGGCCTTTCTGGGTTCACACCTTCCAGCCATATGCCAAAGTTTTCTTCATCTCAGAAACAGTGGAAATCTTTTCAAAATACAATTTTTCAAACTGTTTTTGCTACTGTGGGAACAAAATTAAAGTACTCTGCAAATGACTTTACTCAACTCAACAACCAGAAATGGATTTAGCAATTTAACAAGTAAAAAAAAAGAAAAAGACCCTTTGAATATGGGGAAGCAAAGATGAAAATGTGAATCAGTCTCATCCTCACTTTATTCTGGTTCCTTGGGCTCCTCTGTATGTACTCTTTTTTTTTTTTGGTACCGGGGATCGAACTTGGAACCTTGCACTTATGAGGCAGGCGGCAGTACCACTAAGCTAAATCCCCGGCTGTATGTACTCTTTCTTGATGTAGAGTTTTCCCATTAAAGTTGTTTTATTTTAGAGAACCAGAAGTTTTGAAGGGAGTAGAGGCAAAAGGAAAGGGGGTTAATTCCTATTTAATATTTGACAAAAGAAGCAATAAATAGTTCAGCTATCAACTCAACTCTGCCATTCCTGCACATAGTGCAAATAGGTCAAAAGTAAGTTATTTTCTCCGAAGAGCCATGGTGCATAATTACCATCAAAAAGCATTCCTTGTGTCCAGACTAACAAGACATTGTTTCTCTGGATCATCTCCTGGGACACCGAAATTGTTTTGTTGTACAAAATCATCCATAGTGACCAGACTCTACTTGTTTAGCCAAAGTGCAAAATTCAAAGGTTCTACAAACGATTATGTAACCTTCAATAAATATTTGATGAATGATTCAGTAACTGCCAATTATGAAGAGAACACTGTGCTACATATAAATACTTGTACAGTGGAAGGGATGCTTCAGAGTAAAATATATTCTTTACTGAAATCATTATACAACCTTAGTGAGCAAGAGGCACACACAGTAACTATTCTAGATGAAAGAATATGCTAACTTTTACCAGTAGGGCTGGGTGTCGTGGAACCAAAACAGGAGACAATCTGTGTCATGACAGGAATACCTACTCAATCAGGAACCAAGAAGCCCCGACTCAGAAGCCCCTGTCATTCCATTTTGTGTTTCCTCTCTTCAAAATCCTGTGTCCTTAACTGTTCAGAGTCTCATTCTACTTTTCCAAGTCCATTCCACGGAGCCCTATTACACAGAGTCCTTTCAGGGGCCCCAGCTGGGAAGCCAGGGAGAAGTCACGGCCTTAAACACAGCAGACCTGCTTTATGTGTAGAGATTCCAAGCAGGCTTTCACTTGACAAAAATAAATGTTCCTGAAATCAAAAGACCAGATGATCTCCAAGGTCTATCTAACTGATACGATCCTCTCAAGGAGGTAATATTGAATCTGAGGCTCAAAAGAATGACTAGTTTGACAGACAGAACAGTGTCAGGTCCTTTCAGGTGCAGCTACCTCATCTCACAGGCTGGGGTGCTCATATGGGATCCTAGGGACAGTGAAAGTCACAAAACTAGTAGCAGTCAATAAAGGTTTCTGAGCAGAGAAGGATTTAAAACCTGTAGATTAGAACTTCAATCTCACCAAAGTGGATTATAGTCAGGGTGGAGGAGGAATGCAGTAAGTTAAGAGACTACTGTTGTGGCTGAGGTAAAATGTAACAAGAACGGAATTTAAAACTACATGGGTGAAACAGAAATGGAAAAAAGAGACAGGCTGAAAAGATGCTGTACTCAGAAGTGATCCTGTTATTGGTAAATTTCCTTGAATTTAAGAAACTAATCCTTGAGTTCCTAAGAGCACAATCACTTCTAAAAGGGTCTCTTTTTAGCATAGCACATAGACCAAAATTTGGAAAATGCTATAACATTCATGAGAATGAAGAAGTAGTGTAATTATCAAAAGTTGCATTAATTAAATGAAATTGGCATCCTGTTACCCTTTATACACAACTTGAATCTTATTTTTTTCTCCTGACCAGCCTAAATAGCTTGCATAGTGATATACATAATTAAAGTTGTATTGCTTTCAAAATACTAAAAAGTCTAATATTTTCAATACCACCAGAACCAGAGTGAGCCAGACTTTCATAATACAAATTCTGGAGGCCATGGCTAAAATTCCTCTCATCAGTTATTGATGATTTGACTGGCTTCTCTATATTTCAAGGTGTTATGGTTTAGGTCTAGGATGCACCCCCCCAAAGCCTAATGTATTCAGAGGTGAGGTTTTTGGAAAGTGACTGGATTGTGGGGTGCTGTTCGGAGCTGGGGGCAGATCAGTGGGGGCATGGCCTTGGACTGGTGAATCTTCCTTCCGGGCTCCTCCTCTCTCTTTCTGCCTATGCCAGACCCTTCCTGCTTTGGAGCCAGCAAACTGTGAACTGAATCTTCTAAAAATCGTAAACCAAAATAAACTTCTTCTCCTTTTAAGTTGTGGGCATCAAGCGTTGGGTCCCAATAACAGGAAAGTGACTAAGACAAGGTCCAAAATCTGATTCAAAGAATATCCAAATCTTTCTTTTAAAAAGAGCTATTTATGGTTGGTGCTGCTATGACTACCAGTATTTCATCTATTGGTTTTATGTTTCTGTCAACAGCTAATCATCTCTCTCTATGTCTTAATATTGTCAGTCCTATGAAGTTTTATACAGTACTTAAATAGAATAATTTATACATAGTAATTTTTATAGTCTTTTTAGTCAAGAGAGGACTTGTAAACACACTGTTGCACTTAAAACTCACAAAACAAAATGAGGGATTTAAAATGGGCAATCACTGTGAAAAATCAGATTGGCAGTTCCTCAAAAAGTACACGACTACCATATGACCCAGTAATTCCAATAATTCCACTTCTAATGTATACAAAAAAAAATCCTAGTAAAACAGGTATTCCAACAAATGCTAATACACTAATGTTCACAGCAATACTATTCATCACAGAAAAAAAATGGAAACCACCCAAATATCCATCAAAAGATGAATGGGTAGGCAAACTTCAGTAAAAGCAAACAATGGACTTTTATTCAGCCATAAAAAGGCATGTAGTATTGATACAAGCAAAGAAACTCTGGAAGCATTATGTACATCAAGTGAAAGAAGCGAAGCATAAAATAAGTTATACTGTATGATTCTATTTATAAAAAAATTAAGAATAAGGAAACTGGACGCAGACAAACATGGGCAGTTACCAAGGTTTAGAGGGTAGAGGGTGGCTAGGATGGGAGGAAAAAAGTGAAGACTAACAACTAATGGGAACTGAGTTTCTTTTTGGGATGAGGAAATTTTTTGCAACTAAATAGAAGCAGTGGTTGCAAAACATTGTGAATATAGTATACTAAACATCACTGAATTATATACTTTAAAATTTACTTTTATATTATCTCAATTATAAATCTCACCTGAATGAGAGAAAGAACAGAAAGTGAGAACTTGGAGAGAACTAGTACAAAATTTTTAAAGAATCACAAGAAATGCTTTATTGAAAAGGAAGCATGCTCTAAGACATTAACTAGCTGAGGTAAGCAGATGAGATGGACTCATACAGTTCTTGAAAACAAACCTACATTTCAGTTCTGGGCTCAGACCACTGAACTACATGAACTAGAATCCCATGAAAGTTTTTGGTTTATGTGTCCACTGATCTCATATTTCCAAAGTAAATGTAAGCCCAGCCTGGAAGTCTACACACAGACAAATACCATCTACAAGAACTTCAATACAGCAAGAGAACAGAGCCTCAATTTTGAGATCTTTGCTCATGATTTCAGATATAATTAAAAAGACTTTGATCATCACTTGCACACAGCAGACACCAAACAGAGCATAGAAAATGACAGCATAGAAATCTCTTTGGGAGATAGTGATTTCTTCATCCAAATCAGGCTTCATCCATTTTTTTTATTCTTTATTAACATGCCCAAGATATGTTTCCAGGACTAGGACACTTTTCAACTGACAGGCAGTTTTGAATGAAGAAGAGCAGGGATATAGTCCATGTGAGAAAGTGATGGTAAAACAGAGACTCAAAAGTGACTGAGAGACTTTCTACAACCTCAATATAACTCTGCCAGGAAGGCAGTGGAACCCAGTGGTAGGAGTGATTATTTTGTCATGAAACACCTAGAGTTGCGAATTGGCTGTCTTTGCTACTTGTGTGACTTTGAAAAAGTATAACACTTTAACATTCAGATTCCTAACCTATAAAATGAAAACATTAGTGTCTATAGTATAGATGGTTACAAGAGAGAGTTCATGTGAAAGTCCTTGATTAAGGTGATGTTCAATTTGTGGAAATCATGAGTCCCTAACCTCTATATACCTCCAGCTGAGCATAGACTTGCTCAGGCATCTTCTGGCCATAGCTTTCCAGGAGTGTGATGGTTTCCTTCAGAGGTTCAAAGAGTTCATCAGTAGCTCTCTGTCGGCTTCTTACAGCCAGTAGATTCCCCATGATGTCAACTAAACCATCGTGGTCACCTTCACTTGGTTTTCTTTGAAGTCCTGCATCTGTATCCTTCATAAATTCCTGCAGCTCATTCAGACTATTAAAATATATATAAAATATATATGACACACAAAGTTTGTTAAGTGATTTAGTAGCATGAGAGCTGAATTTTATTTTCACTATGTATCCAATTAAACATTACTCATTAGCTCTATTATGAGATCGGTAGTATTAATTTTCTTTAATCTCTCAATTAGAAACCAGTCAACTTTTAACAAAAGTCAGTATAATTTCAAATACCAAAGTACACAGACTACCTGTCGATGACAAATCTCAACAGATGCTCCTGAAACATCCAGCTCCATTTCTTAATCACATTCAGCAAGGTCACTTTGAATCGTTTCATGTCCACCTTAAACCAACTATTAAAGACTCTGAAGTCATCCAACTTGCTCATCTGAACATACAAAGCTTCATAAATGTCGATCTACAGATTAGAAAAAAAAACTATAATAGTGCCATGAAAATCCAATTACATCAAATTCTAAAGGTTTTTCCTTGCCTGTTCTTTGAATTGTTCAAGAGTTGGTGGCTGTTCAGGAACATCTTCATTTGTGTGAGCATCCATTTCCTCAGATGATGCCGTGTGACCATACAGGAGAAAATGCCTCATGAACTCTGTGCGGTCATCCACCCAGAGATAAGCATAGGTCTCCAAGGAATTTCTAAAGTCTAAGACTTTGTTGATGACATCGCCCACTCTGTTCATTATCTCCTGCCTGGCCTCTGCCAAGCCTAACATGGTATCCATATCATTCTAAAGGAGAAGAAAACCAAGCATTTATTCAAACTAAACTTGTTCTATTGATTATGGCAACATAACATTATCTTCAAACATAACAATTCTTCAAAGGGAGAGTAACTGGCAAAATTTAAAAATCATGTTGCTTTTATCAACTTCTTTCCTTGTGCTTCCCATTACCACAGATTAATGAAACATTAATATAAAAGCTATATCTTTCCAAAAACAACATACCTGGTAATTTGCTATTTCCAGATGTGCTGCTACTCGCTTCATCTGGGCAGACATTCTGAAACTACTGCACAGCATCTCTTCCACCAGGTCATAGATGCCATCCCCAGCCTCTCTTTCTAAGGGAGGTTTAAACACAATCTCAGGGGGCATTAAAATCATTTGTGCTTGAAAAAATGGTGCAGGCTTCAATTGTTTCTCTGTATTCATCAGAAAGAAGTCTAAGTCATGCGCTATAGCCTGAAAAAAGCCTTCCACCACAATATCATCAATGAATTCTACATAAATTTTCCAGGCATCCAGAGAAGGATTGGCTTTGAAGAGCTTCCTGTTCTCCTGGAAACAGACAGGTGTTAACAGGTGAATAGCAACAATGATTATAAAAATGAAAGCTTTGCTTAAATGGCTTGTTAAAGAAAGACTGAATTTTTGTGCATAGCACAGAAACATTCAAATGCTACAATGCAGAACCTTAAGCTAAATGACAAAGACCTAAGCAGGATTTTATAACATTAAGTTCACATACAGTATGCTTTTAAAAGTCCTTCTTTAAAAGCAAAATCAATATGAAGATTGTTGTCTTCAAATAACAATGGAAATATACTAGGTTTCAATGAAATAGTAGACGTGGGTTCTAGTTTTCACTCTGTCTCTAACTCTCCAAGGCCCTGGACTTTCCTTCCAGGGCTCTGCTTATAAATGAAGATATTTCTTAAACTAGACCTTCCAGAAACACTGTTCTGGATATCTAAAGTCCAGGAAGTCAGGGAAGCACTGTGCTCATTCTTGAGGACTCACAATGCGCCTATTATAGCAATCCCATTGAATTTGGTTTGGTTAAATCTTTCCCAAAACTTATTAAAACACAAAGAATATACTTTTTGCCAACCAGCCATGTGTAGCCTGTGGGAAACCTAGCTGGGAAAACACTGGATTGGTGAAGTCTCAGCAAACTTTCGGCTTCCAAAATCTGACATGTGGAGAGCTAAATCCCGCTTGCTCCCTATCAAATCTGCTCTGTCACAGACTTCTTCACCTCATAAACGGAAACCCTCCTCAGTTCCTCAGAAGAAAAACCCCAAAGTCGTCCTTGATTTCTCTCTTCTCTGACTCTCCTGGGAAAATCTTGCTGGTTCTGCCCTTGAAATATATCCAGACAAGGAATAGCCTTTGTCATTTCCACCAGAACCAAGGTGTCATCATTTCTCACCTGGACTCTTGGAGTAAGCCCCTAAGAGTCTAAAACTTCCTTGCTCTGCTCTGGCTTACCTTCAGCAGGGAAAGCCTCTGAGCACAAAGTCTCTAGCTGCTGTTTGTTTCCCTGAGAGTAAAAGTCAGAGTTCTCATAATGGCTACCAAACCTCTGGAATGTTGTACTACTTGACTAGCTAGGAAGCCACCCAAGGATTAAGGAAGCACACTTCTGGGTGTGTCTGGGTGTGTCACAGAGAGGTGGTCTCCAGCCTCTTCCCCTCTGCCACTGTTCTTCAGCTCAGCTTCCTGGCCACTGTGAACTAAGCAGCTTTCTTCCCCCATGCCCTTCCACAATGATGTTTCTGCCTTGCGGTCTGCAGACTGTGGACTGAATCCCTGCAAAACTGTGAACCAAATTAAACTCTTTCTCCTTTATGTTGTAAGTATTGTATCCCAGCAATGGGATAGCTGATTAATACAGATGTGCTCCTAGTCTGTTCCAAGTGTTATCCGTATCCCCTCTCAGTGTTATCCTCAGAAACCCTGTTTCAGGCATGCTGGATCTCAAAGTGATCCTTGGACAGGACGTTCCACCTCTAAGTTTCTGCATTTGTCCTAATTGTGTTAAGATAACCTTTGACCAACATCCACATGCTTTGGCCCCTTCCAGTTCTCTGCAGAAATGTTGCCTTGGTAAAGAGAACTTTCCAACTCCTCCCCAGTATACCTCCCCCTCCCCAGTTCTGCTAGCCCTACCCATCATTTCTGCTCTATTTTTCATCACTGTTCCTGCTACAACTGACATATATATACACATACCCACACACACACATACATCTATACATACACACACATATATACTTTTCTCTTCCTGTTTTCCTTGACTAGAGTATAAGCTCCATAAGACAAAGGACTGTTATATTTTTGGTTTTGTTTTGTTGCATGTGCGTGGTGCTGGGGATTGAACTCAAGGTCTCTTGCACGATAAGCAATTGTTCTGCCACTGAGCTACATCTCAGTTCTCTTCAAATTTTATTTTGAGATGGGGTCTTGCTGCTTTTGAACTCGTGATCCTACTACTTCAGCTTCCTAAGTAGCTGTAAGCACAGGCCTGTGCCACATTACTCAGCCCTCCTGTTTTTCTGTGTTCTTTTCTGTTTTCTCTTAAACCAATCGCCCTAGAATAGTGCTTGTTTCTATTTGAAGAACTCAAATATTTGTTAAAAGCAGAGTTACTTATGGTGTCCTCCCTAGGTGACAGCTGAGAAGCTTCCTAAGATGATATAAATAAGGTATCTGGCATTCAACCAAGAGTGGCATAGCACTCAAAGTGGGAGCAGCTCTGACAAAGACAGGGATCCACCTCTAGCCTTTCTGTTTAGTCAAAACATCTCACACTGTATTCTCTTTCCTCAGGAATGACTAGTGAGGGCTACAGAAAATATAGGCAAGTAAATTCTTCCACATTAAATGCTTACATAACCATTCATAAAGCTCCTTCAGCTTCTATAAGAGTACTACGTATTTTTGGTTTTCTCAAAACTAAATAAAGATCTATAAATTTGGAAATCTTAAAGGCAGTTACCTCTACCAGGTCGTGTATCTTGAGGCCGTCTTCCTGGATTAACTTGTATTTCTTAGCAAACAGGTCCCCCTTGTCCTCCAAAGTCAAGGCTGCCTCCCTGCGCAGCTCACGCCTGGAGAGGAGTGGACACTCGGCCCAGGTGCGCAGGGTCCGCTGGATGTTGAGCACGTTGCTCTGTGTGCGCTCCACCCTGCGCTCCAGCTCCGCGGTGGCTGCCTGCACCTTCTCCATGTATTCCCAACAGTCATCCTGCCACGTTAGCCATGTCGTTGCTGCTTTCAGCTGCTCATCAAGGGCCCCCAGCTCATCTTTGATCAGAGGGTATTCAACTTCCAGAAGGGTCTGTTTCAGCCTATTGTACCCTCTCACAAGAAGCTCCAGGTTCCCAATGTACTGAGCAAAGGAAACCCCAAACACAAAGGGCCAAATGTGTTAGCTCCTTTCTACATCATGCTTGTAATTAAAATTCAAAATATTTCCACTCCAAAGATGCCCTAGTACCAGTAGCTAAAAACACAAACCTTTAAAATAGTATTCTTTTTTCTGAAGATAGCTAAGGCTGATTCTGGTATATCTGATTTCTTGAGCATCAAAAGGTATTTCACTTCTCTTAGTACTGCCACCAGCTAAAGAAAATAAAGGATTACTGTATATTAAAAATATCATTGTATTTTAGTAAGCTGCAGATATAACTCACTGGTAGAGCACTTGCCTACCGTGTAAGAGGTCTTGGGTTCTGTCTCCAGCAATAAAACCAAACAGAATATCATTCTATCTTAGCACAAATTTTATACAGTAGAGGTATATGAGCCCTACTATATTTATAACATAAATTAGGTTTTTAAGTTAATTAAAATTTCATCATGAAAGTTAAGATTTGGGGACTCGTTCAACCATACTTTTGGTGGACAATCGTATATTTCTGTCATAATTTCTTTCAGAGGGAAAATAAGACTGTATATGGTGCTTGTATCAGTGGTAATTTGGATTATCCATAAAATATTTCAATAAATTAGTTTCTATAAACTGGTTTTAAGAAATCAGAAGGTAGAAGGAAGCTTAGGTTCCTAGATCAAATGTTTATGTGTATGCACTATTTTGTCAGCAAAATAAAATAATTCTATTCTTTCTACACACCTTAGGGAAACAGATCAGTTAATGCAAACTCAGAGAGGCTAAGTCTCACACTCCCTGGGTCTCCATCTGTACTGTCAGAAAGACCCAAGGTAATCATTTACACCATCTCCACTGCCTGAAAAGTCAGACACGTGCATAAGCTACTTTTTACTTTTTGGTTATAGAAACTTACAAATAGGCTTGCTCTTTAATGTAAAACATACCTGTGGTAAATAAATGAAAGAGAAAGCTTATTTTGGACCTCTTATCTACCAAGCTAAAAAACTGGAAGATAAATTGTTTAAAATATATGTACACATAAAATACATATATCTTTTTATGTGAACATATTATATTATATAATTATGCACTCACATGCATATATATAGTTTCTTAAAAGGTTTTTATAGTCTCATTGTTACATAACATGCAATGAAATGATCAAATTATTGGAAAAACATGAAATTTCCCTTTGTTTTATGATGTATCAACAGAACAATAAATCTGTTCAATAAAGGCAATAGTCATCCTAGATATTATTTAACTGATATTTTTATGTCTTGTGTTTTTAATAAAAATCTATTTTTAAATTTCAATCATTTTATCTACCATATCCCAGCTTATTTTTTCTTTGAAAGAAACTATGACAAATTCAAATTTACCACTGTGCACCCAAAGCATGACAGATCTTTGTACCATTTAGTCTGTGGATTCCCTAAATCTTAACTTACTTATAAAGTTTTAATTTACTAAAAAACTAGTATAAATTATGAAAATATTCAAAGCCAGAAACCATCTGGTAAAAACTAATGATTCAATTCAGGGGAGCTAACATTTCCTGAGTGTTTGCAAGTGCCAGACACTCTGCTAAAAATGCAGAACACAAGGAAGAAATGAAAAGGACCCTATCCTGAATACGCACTATTTACTGTTTACGGAGGGGGAGGAATAATTACAGGACAAAATACAACAACGTGGGAAACAGATCTCTAAAACAAAAATATACTATAATCGGTTTATATTCCTCACAGCACTGACATTTCCCCCCGCTCCAAAATGTGTAATGGATTAGAAATGTATTTTAGAAAGTATTTGAGCAATATATTTATGGTAAGAATAGCATCTATAACACAACTTAGAAAACCAAATCCCTACCTCTGGGTCAAAGTTGACACTAAGAAAACCGTTTATGGCACTGAATTTAACTAAGGGTTGGTTCAAATTGAATTCACAGATTTCATCCACATTACTTTTCCATTCATTATAGATATGATTTTCAAATTGGTCTAGCAAAGTGATCATTTCAACATACTTCTGATAAAGTGCAGCTTCATCAGGATCATCTGAGAATCTGGAGGAATAAGATGAATAAGATTTTTCCACTTCTCTTTATATTGATAGATTTCAGCTTATTTTACAATACACAATACAACATATTTAAGATATAATTCATTATAAACAATGACGAAGAAAAACAAATACCAAATAAATACCAATTGAATTGTTTTTGCTTTAAAACATATATAGTCATAATTGGATGGAACTCCAAAGATTTTACTAAATATTGATAACAACAAGTTGCCAATTTCTACAAAAATATGAAAAAGCCACAGAGGGATACATAATAGTGTGTTTGTTATTGGATAAAGGGAAAATAACAAAAACCCTAAACATGTTATGAATAAAAAGGAACAGTGAGATAAAAAAGACCTGAAAATACATAAAGTTGAGTCCCACCAAAAAATTCCAAAACCATAATAAAGCCCTCACAATACACACAGCAAGTAAACAAAATGAAATAAGGCAACAACTTCCTAAATGCTAAAATGAACAGCTCCTTGCTCTATAAAAACCCCCACAATATTAGAATAATTGTCCATGTAGTAAGCCTGACTACTTACATATCATGAAGAGATACAAAATTTGACCAAAACATTTGAAGGCGTTCAAGGACCTGTTTGGCCCATTTGATATTCCCAGAGGTAAATGGCATATTCTTGTTAAGAACTACATGTCCATGTTCAATCTGTAAGTTGGTATTTTGGTGAAGAGGAAGAAAGAGAACATTTAGTCAGTGTGCCTTCTAGTCTTGAAAGCAACTGTTCATCTTGGTACTTTTACAATAGTATTAAAAACCCCAACTTGATTAGCAGAAGAGATATGGTTCCAAAGCAAGTTCTCCATCTCCATAAGGGAACCAATTAAATAAAAGCATAAACTTCACTGCCTCTAATATTTAAGTACAATATAGTTCCAGTTGATGGTCATGACCCATTAAAAATTATATTGTGAATGTGCTCAACCTTACACTACTTACCTGTTTAATGTGCTCATTATACAATTGCTTACACACATCCAACTCTGTATTTAACATGTTCACCAGTGTGCTGTAATGTGGGCTAAAAATTTCCATGACAACTGGTTTCTCTAGAAAATTCCCAAATATGGTCAAAAGCTATAAAAATCAAAGTTAAAGAAAAGGTTAATAGCAGTGAGTTTTAATACAAATACTCACCTCACAACTTCCCCCATTATATGACTTTCGCCTCTTACATGACTACAGGAAAAAAAATCCAAAACTCTAAAAATATCCTGCAGTGCCTCAAAATGTAAAACATATTTTTGCATCTTCCTAAAATTTCTATACATCCAATAAATCAAATTCTAGATGTAACTTCTTTTCCTCAAGGGAAATTGAGAGGGGTCAGAAATGAGCCATCATCTGTCAGCTGACCCTGCTCACAGCTAATACTACTTCCTATTGGGTGTTGAAGATGCTTTTCGTATGTCAGTATAGAAGCGAGGTTTATGTACACGTTATTTGTTCTTCCTTCCTACGAATATATTCTTTAGAGATAAGAATATCTAAATCTATATAGAGGACCTCCTGGTCATACTATCAATATTTATACCCAACATACCAGCCACAACAGCTGTTCTGCCCCTGGTTCCCATTGTGCCCATGAGACCTAGTAGTTACCCCGACAGTGGCCCGAGGCAGCAGCGGTCCTGTTTCAAAAAGAGCTACTTCTCAGGTGCATATTTCCTTTGATGTGAGTGTTTTGGCTCATACCAATACCCTGAGTGAATCAAACTGTTTCTCAGAATCAGCAAAGTTATGAATGAGAAAAAACAGACTTACAAGCAAAGGAAATCAACCAAAAGTGGGACAGAAATCAGCAAACAGGTGGTCAGAATATGACCAACAAAGCAGAACTAAAGGGCAGCACTCCTTTTATTCAATGAAGGCCCCTAGGTTCCAAACCAGGACCAGGTTACATGAAGCTGAGTTAAATGAGGCTAACCTACATGCTGCATTTGAGGGGAGGTGATAAGCTGCCCAAATTCATACAGCTATTGACAGAGCTTGAATGTAAAAGCAGGCTTAGTATCTGGGTCCCTACTCCACTATGGAGCCTTTTACCAGTCATTAAGTCACAGTAGTCTTCCTTATCCAAGGATTTACTTTCTGCAGTGTCAGTTACCAGAGGTCAAATGCAGTCCAAAAAGAGCAAATGGAAAACTAGAAATTAAAAATTCATACATTTTAAATAACTTATATTACATTGTTATAATTATTCTATTATCAGTTATTCTATGATTACTATTACTTGCTTTATGTGCCTAATTTATAAGCTAAACTTAACCATGGGTGTGTATGTCTAGAAAAAAAAAAGAGAGAGTATACATCAGGTTCAGTATTATCCATGGTTTCAGGCAGCTAATGAGGGGTCTTAGGACATATTTGTAGCTGGGGGGACTACCGCATTTCATCATTCTGTTACTCTAGTGAACTTTATAATATGCCTACTATTAGGCATCTTAGATATTTTCTTTAAAAGACATCCCAAAATAACTAAATATATTTAAGGTGGGAGAAAAACTATAAAAAGTCATTAGCAAGATGAAAAGGAATACAGATTTGTTCTTTTCCTTGTTTTGTTCCTGTTTTCCCTTAAAACTTATTTTATTCAAAAACCAACTTAATTATAAAAGTTATACAAACTTTTGTGAAAAAATTATACAAACTAAAATGCAGATCTAATTATATCTCAGAGGAAAATTTAGACAAACACATTCTGGATTTTCTCGTGACATTAATTGTAACAAAAACTGCTAAATAGTTTTAAATCCACTTGGTTAGCTGCTACCTAGCAAAATGTAAATTATTAACTTTCTTCTCACAGCCACTGTTTTATTGAGTTTGAGCTTCATGTAAATTGGAAAGCCAACTCTGCTTCATAGATTTAACAAACAAGTGTTCTCCAGAAACAACTGGGAAACACATTTTATACCATCATTTTTAAAACACTTCTTATTGAATTCACAAGTGAAACAAGATCAGAAGTTTTCTGGCTACACCTTGCCTTGCCTATGTGCTTAGTAGTACTTAATTCCAAATGCAACAGAGAAAAGATAGAGAAAATATTCTTTAGGGAATTTGTAAAGCCAAAAAGTGGTAAGACAATTTCAACTTGTCAGTCAGTGTACTTAATTATTCATCATCACAAATATATAAAAATTACCCCCTAGAACGAGAACAAAGGTCACTGGAAGCCCTTGCTTCCTTGTGATAGTACAACTAAGAGCTATTTCATGATGGATATAGATGTTTTCCTTCACATCTACCTAAAACATTAAGAAATGATTCCCACCATGTTTCTTTTCCTAAATATTCCATTTGAGATCTATAAGGTTTACCTTTATTTTTCTTGTACTTCACAGTTTCATAATGAAATGCAGCTTTTTATAACTCTGATGTCACTGTTTAAAGTGGTACATATTTATATTTTTCCCAGCTTTGCTTGTTTTAAGCAGTTTTAAATTTATGACCACCTGAACAATGTACACCCCACAATTTTACAGTTTTCAAATACAGATTGAGTATGCTTTCTATGAAATGTTAGAAGTGTTTTGGAATTCAGACTTTTTGGATTTTGGAATATTTCCAAATACATAATGAGACATCTTGGGGATGAGGCCTATGTCTAAAAATGACATTTGTTTCATATATACCTCATACACATAGCCTGAAGGTAATTTAATACATTTTTAATAGTTTGTGCCTGAAACAAGGTTTCATGGTGTATAACTTTCTATCTTTGGAATCAATCTGGAGCTCAAAAAGTGTTGTATTTTGAGGGGTTTTGAATTTTAGATTATTTTAGATTAGGAATATTCAACCTGTAAATTGTTTAAAGACATTTTTAGACACTCTGTCTTACACACTTTAGCTTTCCTTTATGTGAACATTAGACATTTATTAGGTTTTTGTTTGTTTAGTGAGTGCCTGCACTCCAGATTTTGAAGTATTTTTAAAATTCTCTTCCTGGCCATGTTTCTGCCAAGAATAGACACAAAATTTTCATCTAAAGAAAACAGCCCACAAATATTTCTGCCCTGGCACCAACACTTAAATGTTGGTGCCAGAGTTCATCAACATTTACCTGTGGTTAAGATCATTTTTCCCTTAAAGTATACAAGCCTGTATTGGTTCTTCCATCATGACTTTTCTAGAAGTTTATCCTCAGCAGTATGTCAATATTCAAATTACCAGTTAGTCCAACAGACCTCAAGCAGTTATTAAGTGCCTGCTGTCTCTAAGGCACTGCTGAAGGCAACTCAAGAACAACAAGAGCTATGGAATCATGACCCCCATGGCAAAGTTCATAAGGGCAGGATTGCATCTTAAGTATTTTTTAGTACACAAGGTACAAATACGTGCAAAGTTTTTCAAAACTTCCATAACTATAAGGTAAGAGATAAAATTGTTTAGAAAAAATTAACAATCATGTACTTTAATAGAATCCATATTAATGGTCATGGGAAGGACAAGGAGAAATATTTGAATTAGAGTTCTAATTAGGCTGAATTATAAATCTTTGCAATTGATATTTCATTCTTTCTTCCAGTTATTTACAAAAGCATGAAGAAAATGAGTTCCAATAATAGGAAAATGAGTTCCCATATAGTCCAGTAACTTTACAGACATTAAAAAACATTGTTGAATTTTGTTATAAAGTCAAGAAAAACACTTATGACTCATTTCTAAGAGGGGAAGTTTACAAAAGGTCAGAATACATTGTCCTTCTAAGAGAAATACGTATGCATATATAGTCAAAGAAAAATAGTGGTAGTATTAAATGTCATTTGAAATTACAGGTTGATTTATTTTATTTACAATAGGCTACAAGTTTGGGCTAATAGCATCTCAGTTTTACCAAAGAGTTTTTTTTTAAAAGTGTCATTTGATCCTAACAAAGTCTCCATGTTAAAATGCTCAATTGAGGCCAGAGAACACCGGTAGCTGCATCAATGTTAAGCCAGTTCATTTGAAATTGAAGATCAAAAACCAATAATATTTTAAAAATATATGTCTGCTGTACTGTTTACACAGCCATTCTAAACAAATTGGGCCCTTTATTCCAGGCTATATTTTTCTGGACATCAAACATTCAATTTTTCTTTTGGGATATCACCTAGTTATTAACTTACACTTTTAATTCTCTTCTTTGTCAAGCATATTTTAAATGATGTTCTTATTCCTCATATGTATCGGTTAGCTTTCTCATTACTAAGACACAATACCTGACAAGCACAACTTAAGAAAAGAGAGAGTTTATTCAGCTCACAGTTTCAGGCCATGGTCAGCTGACTCTAAGGCAGGAACATTATGGCAGCACAGCAAAGGAAAGTGGGCTTAGTTCTTGCATAAAACCCAAAACATAATAATTCATTTCCCAAAAGTCTCAACAGTTCCAGAATTTTTCAAAAGTCTAAGTCTCCTTGAGACTCAAGGCAAACACTTAGCTGTGAACCTCTATAAAAATCAAAAGCAAGTTAAATAATCCCATGGTACAATGGGATAGGATAAACATTCCCTTTCCAAAAGAAAGTAATGGGGGGATAGAAAAAAGAATTGGATCAAATCAAGACCAAAACCCAGCAGATCCAGCATCTGAACCACACGGTGGGAAAATGTGAGTTCCAGAGGGCTTTGGTGGCCCCATCCCTTGCTGGTTGCAGCCCACATAGCCTCTCTCTTGAGCTGGCTCCCCTTTTGGGCTGCAGGTTTCCTCAGCAGACATTACCTGTTCCTGGATTCTCTGACATCCTAGGGCCTCTACTGTACCTTTGGCTTCATTCTTAGAGCTTCAAGTATTGTTATCTCAGGGGTTCCAGTCCTGGTCTCCCAGGCCTTTCTTTGAAATCTAGATAGAAACCCCTTTGACTCCACAGCTCTTGCATTCCACATGCTGATAAAATAAGCTGCCAGATCAAACAGTAACCAGTGGCCCCCTGGACCATGGCTGCTGCATTCTCTGAGTGCATGGATGGCTGAGCACAGTGAAATGAATCCTGGGGAACCAGTTCCCTAGGAGGCCTTTTTCAAGCAGCTATCCCAGGGACTCTCTTTTCAAATGAAATGTTTATATTTTTGTACTCTTAAGCTTGTAATAGATGGAGTCTTCCTAATTTTGGAGATGCCTTCAAGGCATTTTTCTTCTTGTCCTTATACAAAGTACTTGCTTGTTTGTTTTAATGGGGCCCTAATCTCTTCAGCAACCACACTTGCTTTGGTCTCAACTTTACACATGATTCCTTTTGGGCCAAAATTTAAGTTTTTTGAATCTTTCTGCTTTGCTTTTTGCTCCCTGTTATCACTATAAATCTGTCTAGGGCCAGGGATTTAGCTCAGTGGTTCTGCCACCTGCCTTGCAAGTGCAAGGTCCCAAGTTTGATCTCTGGTGCCAAAAAAAAAAAAAAAAAATCTGTCTAACAGCAGTCTGCAGTGCCCATGCCACAGCCTGAACTCTGGGCTCCTTTAAATTTCATCCACCAGATTAGTCCATTACCCTTAATTCTAGTCTGCAAAGTCTCAGGACAAAATTTTTTTTGTCAGAGTGTAACATACATTGCCTCCAGTCCAACTACCAATGGAGCCTTGTTCCCAACTGAAAAAATTCCTATGCCTGGCCTTTGTAGTGTGCGTGCATCTCCATTTTCATCTCCAAACTCCTCTTGCAAACTGGTTCCAAAGGCTTCTAAATCACATGGTTGGGTACCATCACAGTAATGATCTCACTTCTCTGGTACCAATTTTCTGCATTAATCAGCTTTCTCATCACTGAAAAGCAGTATCTAATACCCACAACCGAAAAGAGAAGAGGTTTAATTTGGCTCAGTTTCAGGGGATTCAGCCCATGTTTGGTTGTCTGCAAGGCAGGGACATCATGGCAGAGAGTACTGTGGAGGAAATCTAGGAAGAGGCAATAGACCACATGTAGTACCCAAGGGCATACACCTCCTTGTCCCACCTGGACACACCCAAAAAGGTGCTCCACAAATCCCCTGGGTAGCTCCTGAGCCAGTCAAGTTGACAAAATTAAGCTTAACTGTCACACTGTATTATAAACATTCATGATGTCCCTGTTCCCTATATGACAAGCTTTCAGTTTTAGTGAACTATCAAAGTGCTTTTGTTTTATGTAATTCTAACACAAACACACACACACACACACACTGTATTTGATTAGCTCTATAACAAAACATTTTTTTAACACCTGTGAGACTGGAATGTATTATGCAATCAATGAAATCATAATGATTTGGCAGCATTTTTCCTTTATTGACACATAAACAGTGTTATGCCCAATAATCAATGATGTTTCATACCTAATGAAACCAATATATAAACTGCTATTTCAGTCTGTAATAAAGTAAGTAGGTAAACCCAACATATGTAAACAATGGTAAAGAAAAGAAACTGTAGAATTACCAGGTATTTTTCACTTTTCACTGTGGCTTAATGTCAAATCAATACTTCATGGGTGAGGCCAAACTTAATCTAAAGGTAATGAGAGCTAAAATACTGTGAATTCCAGAAAAGATCAATAGCTAAATGTCCTAAAAATGACCTTGCCAAACTCAACTTCATTATTTTTTAACACATTAAAGTGTATTATTCAGCGAGCTGAATTTGAGGGGAATGCAACTAAACTAGTTAATACTTTACATAAATCAGAAAAGAATGTATTCACTCTTCATTTAACAATCTAAATTATTCAGTAGTGAAACATTTTCATGGTAGCCTCCTCAGAACTAACCTTAAATACAGCTTCCAAACCGTGGCAGTTATAGAAAGCTTCACAAAGAATTGTCCCGAGCCTTCTATTAAAATCCAAAATTTTGGACTTAAATGCAACATAGTCATTTTCAAACTCCTGTAAAATTCAAAGTAAAACATTAGTTTATAGAAAAGAATCCAACAGTGAAAACAGCAGTCACATAAGCATGATACATCTCTGTCTTTCCCAGCCATGAATGAAAGAATTTATCTTTCTAGCAGGATTGCAAGATCAGGAAGCTGCAACATCTCACTGTACAAGTGGTCACTTTCTGCTTACTGCTTTGACCCTGTTTTCACAATCCTATTTTCTAACTCAGACCCCAAAACCAGAGTTTTGGTCCATATAAGCCTCACTCTGTCTTCCTTTTTCCCATCCATTTGATTACAAATGAAAATTACAGCTGTCCTTATTATAGCTGTTAGTTTAAATAGGACATTTTTGTTTTTCATGGAGTAGAAAACTTACATGGAAATACTACCTTTGGGAGAGAAGTAAAATCCAGTCTGTGAGAAACATCATTAGCAATGGAGAAATACTGCTATTTTCCCGGTTTCTTATTAACATACAGCAAACAACTCTCAGTTTTCCTCCTAATATAACCACCCACTCCCATAATTAGGTGGAAGGAAATGGTGAGACCACAGCTATCATCTTTATAGCACTGTGATTCTGTCTTCAGCAAAGCTGTGTCAGGAATGCAAGAACACTCTTTACTTTACAGTTGGGATGCCCTGAAGTGCTCCCCACCGACTTAACATAATGAAGGCCTTCACCACCTCATAAATTGTGCTTTCCTTCATTAACAATAATGAAAACAACAGTAGTAATAATGAGAGCTAACATTTATTTAGTTCTGTTTTAAATCCTTTATTAACTCAATTCTCACAATATATAACAATAGGTAATATTTTTTTCTATTTTATAAGTGACAACAACTTAGAGAAGTTAAATAATATGCTCAAGTATCCACGTCACTAAATGGCGGGGGGAAAATGTTAAGCCAGCTGGTCTGGCTCCTGAGCCTGCACTCTCAAGCGTGACACTATTTTCATGAAGGAAGATAACCTGTGTTGTGCTCAATGCCTGTGTCCTCCAACCCTTGTTAAAATTGGACCATATTAGAAGTGGTACTTTATGAATTGATTAGGTAGCAAAAGCAGAACCCTCATGAATAAGGAGATTACTGCCCATATAAAGAAGCCTGAGAAAGACCCCTTGCTCCTTCCTGCATGTGAGATACAGAAAACAGGCGCTCTGTATGAACTAGAAAGCAGCTCTCACCGGACACTTAATCTGGTGGTACTTTGATCTTGGACATTCCAGCCTCCAGAACTCTGATAAACACACTCCTCATATTTATAAACCACCCAATTTATGGTGTTCTGTTACAGTGGCCTGAACAGATCAAGACAGGACCTTAAGGTGAATTTCACACACAAGGGAATCAGAGTACAAGGTTCTAAAACACTGTGTGTCTTACAACACAACCGCAAAGTTTTAAAATACTCTGTCATACAACACAACAGTGTATTTAGCATCAAGAAGTCTCCACTTCTGAATTACAGCCAAGCAGTCTCTTCAATCAAGGATCACTGACTTTTAAAAGTAAACAAACATTCCCAACAAGTTTTAACAAGCCTAGCAAATCCCTCTTCTCAGTGCAGTAACAGAGAACACAATTTATAATCCCCAAATATTAATTCTTAGAGATAAGTAACAACTCAAGGAGGGAAAAAATGCTGATCTCCATCCTAGTTACTGCTTGCTCACCTCTACCATGTCATCATGCATTCCCCAAAACTCTCCTTTAGGAAGTCCCACAAGTAACTTCTCCCTATTTTGTACAATTCTGAACTCATCACCTTCTCTATAAAGCTGCTCCTCCTCCTCATACCCCAAACAGTGACCCGGGCAACCCCTCTGACTTCTCTCTGACAAGTGCTACTGATCTCTCTCTGAACACTGCTCTCCTTGATCACCACTAGTGTTCATCTGGACTATCAGTCATTCTCTCTCTAGCTGCTCTCTGCCATTGGTCTCGTCTCTGATTCATCCTCCCAGTTGCAGCCTAAATAGCTTTCCTAAAACAGAAACCCACCCTCTTAGTCATAATCCTTTAATTCATAATCTCAATCCAGAATCCAGAATCCTGTTTCTTAAGAAACAGTAGAAAATTTTTAGCATAATCTACAAGGTCCTATGTAAGCTGAACCTTATCACTCTTAACTATTCTGTCATTTCTCCAAATTTTATATTCAAGGGTCTAGCCACTCTTGTCTTCTATCTCCCTTAGCCTCCATTATCAACTGTTCAGTTGCTTTACTTCTGTTTATGTTACTGGTCTCAGTTTATTTTTACCTCTGGAAAAAGACCCTTGCAAATGGTTTCAGAGCCCTCTGTACTTTTGATACCCCAGCCCTAAGCACACTGTATAATAACAGCCTACTTCTATTCTCCCCTGTATTCTAAGTCTATAAACCTAATGGCTAGGTTTATTTTTTTTCATAGATATAACACCAATATTTTACAGAGTTCCTAGCTCATAGCTATTTCTCAATATTTACTGGAGATGAACTAGTATTACTCCAGAATCATTGTAAAAATATTTCCACATTCTGAAAACAACAAAATTGCTTTTATTAGCATCATGGGAAACTACTGAAGGGTTTAGAGAAAAGCCATGGTTTGACTTAGCTTGTAAAAGACACTCAAGCTGCTGTGGAGAACAGACTAATGGGGCCAAGACAGGCCAGAGCGAGAAGCTTAGAGCAAATGCAATAAACCCAGTAAAAAGAGTCACGGAGATACCTCCGGTGGGTATCTGAAAGAACTGGATGTTAGCTGTGAGAAAATGAGTGAGATTATGAATGACTTCAAGATTTTTCACTTAGTAGACTATTTGTGATATTTAATGAGCCAAATAACATAGTCAAAAGTAGGTGTGGGGATGAGTAGAGCAAGATTTGGCTTTGAACATGTTAATTTTGAGATGTCTATTAAATAATATCTATGGAGATAGTGAGTAGGCCCTTGAATACATGCATTGTGTCCAGGACTTAGGAACATCACTGTTAAGTAAAATGTACTTGAGGTTGTTGAGGCTGTTGACAGATTTTCTTCACCAAGTTAAGGAAGTTCTATTCCTATTTTTGAGTGGCTTTTTTTTTTTTTTGGTCATGAATGGGCATTGAGTTTGGTCAAATTTCTTTTTTCTTTTTTTTCTCTTTTCAGCCCTAGCAAGAGCTTTCTTTCTTTTTTTTTCTTTTTGGTACCGGGGATTGAACTTGGGACCTTCAGCTTGTGAGGCAGGCAGCAGAATCACTGAGCTAAATCCCCAGCAATAGCTTTAATTCTAAGATGCCATCATAGTGAACAACCTTAACTTTTATGCTACATAATTATATTCAAAGCTTTATGTATTTTTGTTTATAATTACACAGTAATTATAAATGTTTAGTACTAAACTAATTACAAACACTATTTTGTTGAAAAGGTCTTGCATTTAAAAGAATAATCTGTAAAACCCAAGGCATTAGGCCACAACCGATATCAGATTTTTATGAAAATAATTTATAATGGGGAAAAAAATGGGATCTCATTTCAAAAAACAGCATACTTGAAATAGTCTGAAAATAGTATTGTAACTCAAAATCTTCAAGACAGGAAATAAAAGTACATATATTTTTATATCTTTTTAAATTTTCTCATAATCGAAATTCTTTATATCTGCAAAAACAAAATCAGGAAATACTAAAAACAGCAGGATTCTTCTCCTTTTTTTCTTTTAATAATTAATTCCAATAACATGAATAGAAATCTTCAAATTTTTCTTTTGGTAAAATTACAGTCTTGAATTAAAAGTTATGACTGCAATATTAATAAACTATCTCATCAATTTCAAAATTATGTAAATAAAAAGAAATTTTAATAAGTCATTGTTTCTTGAAATCACCTCTGCATCAGCATAAAATGTACTGCTATTCTGAAGTGCATTCCTTTACTGATATCAATACTAGGCCCTAAAGCGTACCTGGATACACCAGGCAAAATCTGTTCCTAGTAAAGACCATGGTCATCCAAAACTTGAAGTTCAGCATTTTTTAACTTGTCTTACAGAAATGTTTAAGAAAGCAATTAATCCTTCTTCACATAACAGAAAACAAACATGGGCAATTTAGGCAAGAAAGCTGTTCATGGGTCCCCTAACAACAACAACAAAAAAACCCCAAAAATGTGGGGGGGGAGTTCCATACAAGACATCATTCTGCTTTGATGTGAAAACGGAGCTAATGTGAGTGAAGCAAAAAGAGTAGAGACTAATTTAAAACAGAAGTCAGATTGGTATATATTTTTTTTAATCAAGTATATGCTTATATCTGGGATTTTTTTTTTTCCTTTGGTACCGGTGATCGAACTCGGGGCCTTGCGCTTTCGAGGCAGGCAGCGGAACCACTGAGCTAAATCCTGGGCCCTTCAAATTTATTTTTTCAATTAACATAACCGTGTGATTCTTCTTCTATAATCTGTTACTATGGGAATTACACTGAAAAGTACAAATATTGAATTCAAATTAAAGTGAAATGTTGAACCACCTTTGCACTTCTGGAATAAATAGCAGTTGGACATGGCCCGTAATTTTTTTATATTGGTGTGAATGTACATTGGTACAGCCATTATGAAAAACAGTATGGAGTTTCCTAAGAAATTAAAAACAGAACTGCTATATAACTCAGCAGTCCTCCCCCAGTATATATAATCAGATGGAGAAACCACCTCAAAGATATCTGCACTCCCACATTTCTTGCAGAATTATTCAAAATACCCAACATGCAGAAGCAAACTTAATGTTGGCCAAAAATGAATGAGTAAAGAAAATCATACACCCATACACACACACCACAGAATAATATTCAGCTTTGAAAAGAGATCTCATCATTTGCCACAAAAACAGATCTGAAAGTCATTATGCTGAGTGAAATAAGTCAGACACAGAGAAAAATACTGCATGATCTCACATGGAATTAAAAAGAAAGAGTCAAATATACAGAAAGAACAAAGCAGAGGTTATGGTGAACAGTAGGAAATAGTGAGAG